CCGGTTCGGTTGGAATGGGGCCGGCGGCGTCCTCGTGCACGCGCGGGGTGCACGCATGCGTACTAGCATCTGTGCGACACTCCAGCTGCTCCTGGACAATTGTGCAGGCGCTGTATGCATCCTGCGCAGGCGTGGAAGCGCAGAACTCGTCAAAACCGGGTAAGGACCACGGGCAGGCGGGCGCGCCCTTCGCCGTTCCCGGGTTCGGCGACCAACCGGTTCGCAGCGGTCCCTGCGAACCAGTTGGTCGTCGAACCCGGAAGTAAGTAACTTCCGGGAACGGTGACCTGGTTTTGACTAGTTCTGCGCTTCCACACATGCGCAGGATGCATACAACACCTGCGCGATTGTCCAGGAGCAGCTGGAGTGTCGCGCAGATGCTAGTACGCATGCGTGCACCACGCGCGTGCACGAGGACGCCGCCGGCCCCATTCCAACCGAACCGGTAGGAACGGGCCGAGAAACCCACCCCTGTGATGAATGTATTATGATGACTGTGATCATGACTTATCACTTATATCGTTTATGTACATTGAGAGCTTATGTGCCAAAGACAAATTCCTTTTATGTCCAATCAAACTTTTCCAATAAAGAATTCTATTCTATTCCTATTCCTATTCTCCTATTCCTATTCCTTTCTGTCCCATCCTTACGTCTCTTCTCTTCTCTTCTCTTCTCTTCTCTTCTCTTCTCTTCTCTTCTCTTCTCTTCTCTTCTTTATTCCCATTCTTATTCCTATTCCTTTCCATCCCATCCTTCTCTTCTCTTTTCTCCTATTCCTATTCCTTTCCCTTCCATCCTTTTCTTTTCTTCTCCTCTTCTATTCCTATTCCTTTTCCTATTCTAGAGAGCTTGTTGGGCTTAGTGGTTAAGGCATCAGGTTAAAAGGGGGAGACTGAGTTTTAGTCCTGCCTTCGGCACAAAGCCTAAGGCCGGTGACCTTGGGGCAGTTCCTGTCTTTCAACTTTAGGAAAGAGCCAATGGCTAGCCACTTGTGAAATCTTGCTAAGAAAACTGCAGGGACTTGTCCAGGCAATTGCGAAGAGTCAACAATGACTCAAAGTGATAAGACATTGATATGCACCCAAGTATTTTACAAGATCTTTTAAATTTACACCATAAGATTGTGTGTGCTCCTAGGGGTTGAAGTGATGTCGGTCCACATTCTCATCCTTCTGTACGTCTTTCTGTTTTGACCCTAATGTTCCTCAAATACCCATGGACCCAAGGTTGGCCCATGGCATCTGTCCATTGCAAAGCCAAAGAATTGGCTTGCATTTCTTCCCCTCATTTCCTCTTTCAGTTTGTCTTCCTACATACCAGACAGCTCAGCAACCATATTTGGAGTTAGTTTGCTTGTCTGCTGCTCTCACATCTGTTTGGCTGGAGGACTAGAGTGTTTTTGCTTGCCCATATATGGACAAGCTGCTTGAGAAAAGTCCTGCATCTGGCTTAAATTAGAAATAATGTCACCTCTTCAATTCTGATTTTCTCATTAGCTTCTAGTCAGCCACTCTTTATTCTGGCTTCCAGGGCAAAAGGCTGATCAGGTGTGTGTCCTGAAGTTCACAGTTTCTTGTTAACAACCAGTTTCCTTATAATCATTCATGTCTCTGAAGCAATGGAAGGAAAGGTTGGAGACTATAATTGAGCATTTTTACTCCAAGAAGGAAATTGTTGGTGCAAAAGCATCAGTTAAGTCTTCTTGTCCCAAAATTGAGTAATTAGGCATGTTAAGGTAATTGTAATAAATGGTTCCATTCAGATGAACCAATGTGTACAAGCTTAAACATTCTATTGGCAAGGTTGCAGAAACTCTGAAAATAGTAGAACACCAAAGCAAATATATTTGTGATTCCCTCCTTATGAGATAAACCATGTGAGAGAATGGGCAAGGTGTTGGACCAGGACTGGAGAATTTCACTTTCTGGTTCACCCTAGAATTAAAGAGGAAGGGGGTCAAGCTACTTTCCAAAGCAGTCGAAGCAGACAAGGAATAATGGATGGAAGGTGATCAAGGAGAGATTCAACCTGGAAATATGGAGAAACATTCTGACAGTGAGAACAATCAACCTATGGAACAGAAGTTGCCTTTGAAGGTTGTGGAAGCTTCATCACTGGAGGCTTTCAAAAAGAGACTGGACTGCCATTTGTCAGAAATGGTGTAGGGTCTCCTGCTTGGGCAGGGGGTTGGACTACATGTCCTACAAGGTCCCTTCCAACTCTGTTAATCTGTAATCTGTAAATCCGGTCTCACTAGTACAGCATAGAATTTTACTATCTCTTCCTGAGATCTAGAATCTATCCCTCTCTTGATGTGTTGGCTTTTTTGGAAGCTACAGCACCTTCCTGGCTCATACTTAAATGGTCTCCTGCTTGAGCAGGAGGTTGGACTAGATGACCTACAAGCTCCCTTCCAACTCTGTTAATCTAATCTAATTTAATCTAATCTAATAGCTCATAATTTGTGGTTGTTGGAAAATGGAAATACAATGGTTATGTATACTGCCTTGTGATTGTGGAGGAAATTGTGGAGGGCATATGTATGTCCAGGTTTCCTCTGTTGCTTGCTCTATATATAGGGTTTAGTTCCTTTCAATTCTTAGCAAAATAATTTTTAAATACAGGTTTAAGGAATTTAAGGATTTTTTTCTTTTGACAGCAAAAGGGTTATTAGTTTGATTTTGGAAAGTTACAAACAGATAAAGGATCCAGGTGTATTTTAAATAAGATTTTGGAATTCATATAAGAATCCTTCTCATGGGAAAATGTTTTTGTTTTGAATTCTGTTTTAAAAAAATAAGATGAGATTTTGAAGGTTGGACACCAGAGGGAGCCAGAAGGAACTTCCTTTTTTTTATTCTTGTCAGAATTATAGAAATGTGTTAAACATACATAGGCTAAATAGGATTAAAACTAAATGACATGCACCCGTATTTGGCCACATCAATAGCACATCAACAAGAGCTGTGGTGGGGTAGTGGATAGAGTGCAGTACTGTAGGCTACTTCTGCTGACTGCCAGTTGCCTGCAATCTGGCAGTTCAAATCTCACCAGGCTCAAGGTTGACTTGGCCTTCCATCCTTCCGAGGTTGGTAAAATGAGGGCTCAGATTGTTTGGGGCTAGCTCTGTAAACAGCTAAGAGAGGGGTATAAAGCACTGTGAAGCAGTTTATGTCTAAGTGCTATTGCTATCTCCCATCCTCCCTCCCTCCCTCCCTCCCTCCATTCTTCCCAGTGGTTAGAATGCAGTATTGCAGGATAACTATGCCCACTGCCAACAGTTTGATCCCGATCAGCTCAAGGTGGACTCAGCCTTCCATCCTTCCATGGTGGATAAAATGAGGACCCAGATTGTTTGGAGGCACTATTCTGACTCTGTAAACCACTTAGAGAGGGCTGGAAAGCACTGTGAAGCTGTATAAGTCTGAGTGCTAATGCTAATTTTCTCTCACCAGTATAAGTCTGCCTCTGTACATGTTGAAGGACACTGTTTTCACCGTAGCATACACGAGATGGATTGTTCTTCTTCACTTTCACACAGAGAAGGAACTAAGAAGTCATTGATTCATATATCTTTGTCCTAGATCAAAAAGCAGCAGCAAGATGTGGTCAGCTTCTTGGAAGTCAATAAGATTGAGTTTGAAGAGAAAGACATTGCGGCCAATGAAGAGAATCGCAAATGGATGAGGGAGAACGTCCCAGAAGACAGTCGGCCAGCCACTGGGAATCCATTGCCTCCACGTATCTTTAATGACAACCAGTACCTTGGGGTGAGCAACAGCCTCTGTTTTTTTCCCATTTGTGTTAAAAATCTGCTAGGTATTGTGGCCCACCATTGGCCAGCAGATTCGGACAGTGAGGAGGTTGGGGAGGAACTTGGGCCAGTCCTGGAGTCTGGGGAAGGCTCGGATGAGGGCTCTGTGTTGGAGGCATAGAGGGGGCCAGAGCCATCTGACAGTGATCAACTGCCTTCGGAGTCAGACATCAGTGAGGCAGACGAACAGCTGGAGCCTGTTCCCAGTGTGCGCATGCGCAGAGCTGCCAGATGAAGGGAACAGCTAAAGAACAGGGGCCGACTTGGGAGTAAGGCCACAGGTGGGCAGTGAATGGCCCCTCCCAGAGGAAATGAAAGAGAAGCGAAAGGGGAGGGGAGTTTGCAGGAGACAATTAGTTCATTCCTGCATTCTTGCCAAGTATTGTGGCATCTGAAAGATATTGGCGTGGCCACTCTCCAAGCCTGATAAAAGTCAGTAATTGTATAGTGGGAGAGGAAAGACTTTTCTGGAGAGGAATTCACTATAAATTAAATAAAAGGGGTTTATCGTGAGGAGGACTGAGCTCCTTGCTGCTGTGGAAGCCTAGGTCAGAACACTAAGAAGCTTTACTCTATAAGCTTCAAATCTAGAATCCCTGCCTCAAATGGGCACATCATTTGCAAGTAACTTTTGGGGTGGAATGAAGTGGAAAGTCACAACAGAGGAGAAATGCTGGGTCTACTTCATTTGAACTGAAAAGGCTAAACAGACTTTTCTTCCAAGTTACGCTTAGAAATCCCTGGGCTATAAACTAAGCCAGCATTTCTCAACTTTGGCAATTTGAAGATGTGCCGGCTTCAATTCCAGAATTTTCAAGATATTTTTTAAATAGTAGAAATAGAGTCACAAATGCTTTGTTCGGAACCGAAGACCTTTCTGGATGTTGGCTATTTCTGGATGAATGAGGCCTACAGGCATTCTCATTTTCACCTCTGGAAAAAGGTGCTTTTTCAAGAGGGAACTGGACTTCAGCTTCTGAAGAGTTGAAGAAGCTTCTTGGATGAGAAGCAAAATGTCTTTGAAGAAAAACCAGAAAGTCCAGTTGCCTCTTGAAAAAGCAGCTTTGGGACAACCAGGACTTGGATGAGAATCTACAAAACAAAATTCTCCGTGCAAGAATTTTGAGACTCTAGAAAGAGTGCAGGAAAGAGCCATAAGGATGATTAGGGGACTGAGGGTAAAACATAGGAACAATGGTTGCTGAAACTGGGTATGTCTAGTCTGATGAAAAGAAGGACTAGGGGAGACACGATAGCAATGTTCCAATATCTCAGGGGTTGCCACAAAGAAGAGGGAGTCAAACTATTCTCCAAAGCACTAAGAAGCAATGGGTGGAAACTAATCAAGGAGAGAAGCAACTTAGATCTAAGGAGAAATTTCCTGACAGAACAATTAATCAGTGGAACCGCTTGCCTCCAGAAGTTGTAAATGCTCCAACACTGGAAGTTTTTAAGAAGAGATTGTATAACCATTTGTCCGAAGTAGTGTAGGTTATCCTGCTTAAACAGGGGGTTGGACTAGAAGACCTACAAGGTCCCTCCCAACTCTGTTATTCTATTCTATTTTAATTAAAAGTAGTTTAAAATGTGAATATTTGGTAATATAGAGAGTCTGCCCTCTAGGGAATAGCGGTCCCATATAGTTGAATTTGGCTGTATTTCCCAACTCAGAAATATTTCTCGGAGACTAATTCAAGCTACTCAGCATATTTATTGGCCCAGGTATAATCCAACCATCAGATTTCTTGCCAAACCAGCTGGAGTACGTGTTGATTTTTAAAGCCAACAATATGTAACTGAACCAGCCAAATCCAATTCTCCAGGGATGAATTCCCTATCACGACTACTTTGTTTCTTACTAATGGAATAGCCTAAGAATAAAGGATGGGCTTATGAAGTCAACTGTAATGGACAGAATAGATTTCATTAAAAAAAAAGTATTGCGTATTAAGATAAAATTCTAGGATGTCTCTTGAAAATAATCATCTAGCCAGCTTCTGCTCAGAGGTTAGTAAAGTGTTGGATAGGTTCCTCTGCTTCCTTCAGTATCACGGAAAAATGGGAAATATATTAATACTAGCTGGACATCCGTGCTTCACAATGAAACTATGTGATTGGACAATGCAGGAGAAATCCAGTTCAATACGTTGGCTGAGTGGTGGTCGGTAATTAAAACACATAAGGGAATATTGCTCCCGCTGCCTTGAGATCTATGGAAGCAGTTCCATAGGTGGAAGGCATAGACATTTTGGTGAAGTACCAATGTTTACTACTGTAAGGAGCCCCAGACCACTCCTGAGTGAAGGAGTTGAACATCTGCCAGTTTGAACTGAGGTAGTGGAATGTGAGGCAACTGGCAGTTGGAACAGAGTTCTTTTCAGGTGAGGAGGGGGAGTAGAACTCCTTAGCATCAGAGCGTTTTAATAATAATATAAGAAATACTAATGATCTGATGGTCATTTTGAAAAAATCCTTTCTTAGCGAGCACCTAGAAGCCAAGAGGAATATACATGCCAAATTTCAAATTTGTAGGCTTTATAGTTCTGGAGGTCTTGTGATGAGTGAGTGGTATTTGCCTTTTATATATACCCGTATATATAGATTTATAAATAGGCATGATGGGTCTTCGTGAGTTCCTTTTCCTCAAAGATCAAATACTACAAACTGTTTCCTAAAGGCTATATACTGATGTTTCTTTTCTTCCCTCTCCCATCCCATAGGATTATGACGCTTTCTTTGAAGCTAGAGAGAATAATGCCGTCTATGCTTTTTTAGGCTTGACTCCCCCACCTGGTTCAAAGGTAGGTATTGCCACAGTTGCTTGAACTCTGTTTCCTGTGCTTTGAAAGTCTAAACTGGGAGTCTCCAAACTTAGTCACTTTGAGACTTGTGGACTTCAACTCCCAGAATTCCCCAGCCAGCAAGCATGCTGGGAGTTGAAGTCCATAAGTCTTAAAGTGACCGAGTTTGGAGATTCCTGGTCTAAATGCAAATGTTGCATTTAAAGTTTATTTTCTCTCACCATGAGAGCTTTTTTTTCTGGATTTTCTCCTCTCCAATAAGGAACTCTTTATTACATGAAACAGTGCTAGATTTATCTCTGGCAGCTGTTAAAATTTTCAAAAAGATAGTAGAGTATGCTGAGCATGGGTAAAAGAGAATTCACATTTTATATTTAAGGCTGATGAGCTTCCTTGTTTATTTTATCTTCACCTTTTTTTTTTACATCTTTGTTCTGTGACTGCCCCTTTAGTCTGGTCTTAGGATGAATACTAAGAATTTTTAATAGAAATAGTTTAGTGTTCCAATATATAATATTATATTAACCACCCTAGCTTTTGATTATCTTTCTTTTCCTCTTAAAAGCTTTAGTGATATTACTGAAACAGATGTAAATTTTCTTCCTTAACACACTTAACAAGCATCTCATTCAACAATCGAAATTTTGGGCTCAATTATGGTAGTAAGTTGAGGACTACCTGTACAGGTGACCAAATTGTTTTGTTTTATTTATTAAAAATAAACTTGGCTAACATTTCTCTCATTGTCTTTCCAGGAGGCAGAAGCACTAGCAAAACAAGGGGTGTGAATCCTTCCCCCCTTTCTTCCTCCCAGCCTCAAGCCTTAAAAATTCTGCAAAGAGAAAATCCTACAGCTTTTCTCCCTTACAATAGCAAAAACCAATGCGCTTGAAGAAAAAAGAAGCAAAGGTTTTGTTGTTTTCCCCAAAATTACTGGCTGCTCTCTACAATATTCTGCCATATAGATTTAACAAGAAGCCACACCAAATAGTATTATCATTATGAATGATGATGATGATGATGATAATAATAGTAAATACAACTGTGCCACAATGAGAGAAAGAGAGAGAAATTAAATGAAGTTTCTAGAAACCCTTGATTGAATTTTGACTCTTGCAGCTCATCACCCTCTTTTTTTTTGTAAAATTAACGAAAGCGTTGTATTTTTTCTCTCTGTGACACAGATCTGTAATTATACTTGCAGATGTAGAGAAAATCTAGCTGCAAAAATGTTTATTAATAAACCCCAGTGCCTCTACTGCTTCAAAAACCGAAATGTCAAATAGGATGTCCTAAAGTTTGTTGCAATGTCACATAGCTGAGGTTTGCAATGACTTGTTGTAGTTAGGATGTTTGTAGAGTTGTTCTTTTGTTATTTTGTAACATAGATTGATGCCATTGGAGTCTCTTTGATTGAATCAGGGCAGGATTTGCCAGAGTTGATCAGAACACAATGACAGTCTTAGGGAAAGGCAAGATTTTTGTGCAGTCTCAGTAAAATGTGCATTTCTAACCCTCTGGATTTATGAAAACAACAAAATAGTTCTTATTTTGCTAGAATGTGAAGCAAATGTAATATGGGGCCAAAATACTTTTTGTTATTTTTTTTATTATTATTAAGAAACAAGGTCAAGTAATTACGAATTAGAATAACACTTAGTTTGATATATTGAGCTTGTAAAATGTTTTCTATACAAGATGAGATTTGTTAAAATCAAGGGTCCAATATGAAATAAAACTGAATAAAGGTCATTTGCAGGAATGAAGCTTGTAGGTCTCTATGATATAGGAACTTCAACTGATTTTTCAGCCTGGTTTTGCAATGCTGTGAAGTTGCCTTTAGCAGTTTGTCAAACTCCTAGTATTTTCAGAATGTGTAATAACGATCAAAGATGTGGGCAAGAACCCCATCCCAAGAAACACATTAGCTACAAGTAATGCTGAAAAGTGTGTGTCTCACTCCTATGGATTTGGAAAGTTGTAGAAATGCAGCTGAATCACAAAGTCTTAATCAAATCACATCAATATAGATATATCCAACAGAAAAAATATACCAATATATATATATTGCTCAGGGTTGAACTGTGGAGTCCTTGGTGCTCTCTGAGCTTGGTTGTTTGCTTGCAGATGTTTCCTTACCCAACTAGATAACATCATCAGTGAGATTAAGCCTGGGGTTTGCTTTCTGTTTTGATACAGCAGCTTGCCCTGCTAGCACTGGTGAGCAGTGGTTTTCTCCTTGGCAGTTCTTCAATTAACACATCTCCTTCAACAGCCAAGAACTAGATAAGCGGGGATTAACACCAGAGAAACAATCAAGCAGAAAATATCACCCTAATCAAGGAAGTAGCAAGGAGAAAACCACACCCCCAGCCACAGCTGGCAAGGCAAACTATATAAAAAAGGAGCATTGATGATATTATTTAGTCAAATTATAACACATCATATGCAGATATCATCAAGCTTGGGGAATATCAAGAACTTCACAGATAAATAGATGTATGTTGCCTTTTTATCTCATGGATATTGTATTCTCAGCCCATGCGGAGGACCAAAGTTAATGTAGATGACTCCATCCAAATATTCCCTTTCCCACTTAATAATACATGCAGATAAATACACAAATCAACATGAGGGTTTTTTTAAAATCTAAGATTCCTGTCAGTTGACATGGTCCCTCCAGAATTTAAGTTCTGCAGGAATTGCCTAAGTTTATAATGTCTGCATTATTTTATCTGTGTTAGCTTTCATGAGGCCTTTGAGAGTCAAAATACAATAATTGCTTCTCTTTTGTGTTGTTTTCGGAAAAAAATGTTTAGTATGGTGTTTTTCTTTGGAAATATGTAGTATGTAGAGCAATATTTGTCAGCTTTGCCAACTTTTAAGATGGGCAGAATTCAGCTCCCAGAATTCCACATCATGGCTGGCTGGAATATTCTGGGAGTTGAAGTCCACCCATCTTAAAGTTGCCAAGGTTGAGAAATGCTAATGTCGAATGCCTGGTTTTACCAGTTCTGGATTCCAAAAGAAAAAAAGAGGACCATCTCTTCTTAGTTCATACTATATGCTTTTGCACCAATGATCATTCCTAGTTGTTCCTGGCTCTTGGGCTGAGATTGGACAAAGAATACCCTGCAGGTTTGAGATGGGTTTTGATGGTAAGAAACTCAAGACAGGACAAATCCTGCATCCAGTGGCCGAAGACGGTTCCACAAAGTTTTTCACTCAAATATATTGATCTACATATATCTTCCTAATTCATTGCTATTGGAAAGCCTATGTTAGATAACCCCCTTATCTCTTAATAGTCTATTGTCATTAATAGTCATTAATTTTTGCATTAAATGAGTATATTGTAACTCAAACTTGTTATACTCTTAATTTCTTATAAGCAGTCTCTTATTATTATACTAACCCTCTCATTCTTTGTATGATATCCTCTACAACTATATCTTTTATTGTGTAATTTTTATATTCTGCAACAAGGATGGGCAACTCTGGCAACTTTACGACCTGTGGACTCCAACTTCTAGGACTTTTGGGACCTGAAGTCCACAGGTGTTAAAGTTGCCATAGTTGCCCACATCCCTACGGCCTGCACTTTTCCTCTTACACAGGCCTACTCAGCGAACCTTGTGGTTTTGGCTTGATTGTCATTCCCAGGAGCCCTATTATCGTTAGCAGTTGTCCTTTTGTTTTGTCTGCCGCTAACCTGAACTAGTGCCATTGCTTGGCCTGCTACATGGTAATTAGCGCTAGCGTGAGGGTTACATACCGCCCCATAGCGCTTCACAGCACTCTCTAGGCAGTTTACAGTATAGCAGCATTATTTGCATGTTGCCCCCCCAAACAATCTGGGTCATCCTCCTTTTACCAACCTTGGAAAGATGGAAGGCTGAGTCAATCTTGAGCCCACCAGGATCGAATTCCAGGCTGTGGGCAGAGTTTTGCCTGTAATTGTGCATGCTAACCATTGCGCCACCAGGATTCCTTGCCCCTTTGGGCATCTTGCAACTCTGTGAATAGCACTAGAGGTCTGTTCTTGCTGGGGTTCTGCTAGTTCCTCTTCGGGCCTTTGATCACCCACCTTCTGGTCTATCAGACCTTGGCATCCATTCATAACTTCAGTTTTTCTCTCATAATCCCACTGTGCTTGAGTCTCTTTGGCTGGCAGTCCTGTTTCTTTTCCTAAATGATAGCAGTTCACAACTCCTTTGAAACTTTTCTTTTTCCTATTTCATGATGGCCGTGGGCTCTGAATTAGGAAAGTTCAATCAGAAATATTTTTTTTAAAGTATGTGATAGGAATCACACATTTTTGAATAGATCGTCATTTTGTCTGTTACGTTGACCTTAATCGTGGCAAGGAGGATGTTGTACCAGCTTCCAATTCCAGAAATCTATTCATAAAAGCTGCACATCTTCTGCTGTTTTGTTATAATAATATGCAATTTCATAATAGTTTTTTTCTACTTTTACACTCAAAACAATCATTGTTCTTTTTAACTGCTGCTTTCGCTTCAGGTATGGTGATTGCCAGCTTTTTAGTGCCTAGGAATCCTCTTTATATTTTTAACATTTTCTTTATCTGCAATAACTTCTCATAGGCAACTGAGGTTATAAAAGCCAACAGAAATGGGACCACTGAAAACCAAAGGGAATCTATCAGTATTTTTGGATTTTACAGTACAGAAATGTCTTTAAAAAAACTTTGAGAAAAAAAAATCCCTGCTTCCAAATCAGTTCAAAGATTGATTCAACCTAAAGGCAACACATGGAAGGACATGGTGGCTCAGTGGCTAAGACGCTGAGCCTGTCAATCGGTAGTTCGGCGCTTCGAATCCCTAGTGCTGCGTAACGTAGTGAGCTCCTGTTACTTGTCCCAGCTTCTGCCAACCTAGCAGTTCAAAAGCACATAAAAATGCAAGTAGAAAAATAGGGACCACCTTTGGTGGGAAGGTAACAGCGTCCTGTGCACTTTCGGTGTTTAGTCATGCCGGCCACATAACCACAGAGACATCTTTGGCTTCAGCGCTGGCTCTTTGGCTTTGAAACGGAGATGAACACCGCCCTCTAGAGTTGGGAATGACTAGTACATATGTGTGAGGGGAATCTTTACCTTACCTTTACCTAAAGACAACACAAGCATTTGCAGGAATCATGTCCTCAAAGAAAACAGGACAGCTCTAAGTAACTTTACGTTATTATTTTATTCATCCAGATAATAACGGTATCTGAAGTCACAACTTCAAAAGATATGTTTCATTAGGTCTTTCACTCTGGCGTTTTAAATGAGTCAAAATCCTTCTATCTGATAGGAGAGATTTCAAGTTGGTGTGTTTAACAATGTGTCCACCCAGCTACCAGAAAAGTAATGGCTCACTTTTTGTGTTCTACTGTCAGAGAAAGGTGTTACTGCCTTATCCACAAAGTAAACCTTATACAAAAAGCTGAAAGAGTGGACATTCCCATGTCTTTCACAGGGAGCTGAATTTCTTTGACATACAAAATTCCTGTTTCATCTAAACTTTTTTTTAAAAAATGGTTTAAGCATTGAACACATATAAAGGAACATCTTCAAATTGTTGCCACATTTTTCCCCATTCTATCTACAGCTGCTACCTTAAGGAATTTCTTAACTTCTTCATTTTCAGTTGCTTCATACAGCATGTCAAAGTCCTGAAATAAATACAAAAGATAGAAGTTAACTGAGTTAAGAAAGCAGAAGGGCACTGGGATGAAAGTCACATTCCGCTGGATGTCACTTTTCTTCAGAATGCTGTTACTGCTGAGCCTGAATCTGTTTATCCTAGATTCAAATGGCCATTCCATTCCTAAAGTTACTGGATTATGCCAATCACTCACTGACTATAGAAATCACATTTAATCATGATTTGTTAACGAGATTCAAAGAATATGCTACACTGAATGCAACCATACTATAGGTTACCATGGTCTGAGAACTCTTTATCAACCTTAATTTGCTCATTTGGATTGTTGGAAGGAGAAAGCAGAAAAGAAAACTCCATGGTGGGACAAACTTTTTTTGTCAGAAGATGGTAAAATATGTGATTTCTGCTACATACAAGCAAGAATTTTTTCCAGTCAAAAATGAAACTAACTGACCTTGTCTAGGGACAACTTACCCTTCTGCAAATCTGATTGGTAGGTCAGCCCTAAAAATGGGAACGTGGTTTGGTTCTTTTGTGCACTTTGGATGACTAACAGCTCATTCATGTAATGTAGTTCACACACTCTATTTTCCCTATCCTTCCTCCCCTCCACCCCTTTTTTCCATTTGGAAATAATAGCATAGTCAATATGTAACCTGCACGGGGGATGATTCTAATGTTAGAAGAAGAAAAAGGCTGGAGATGGTGCCAATGAGGGAAGAAAAAAAAGCAAGAATTGGAGGAAGTGAATAAATTCCAGATTTTTTTCTTGTTTTGGGAGGGAAGGCTAATGAGACATTATATTCACACACAAAATACCTTTTGAATAAGTGTGCTTTTATTCACCTTCCGTTGGTGCTGTCCAACTTGTTTTCCAGCCCTTATAACCAAATCCATAATTTGGTTGCCTCCCCCAATCTGATTTTCCTTACCCCGCAATACTCGTCTCCGTTAAAGATCTGGGGCGGGACTGCATCAGCCTTGCCAACTTTGTCCCTCATCTCTTGCAGCAAACTTTCACTAAGAGAGACATCCACCAACTGGTACTTCATGCGGTTCCCATCCAGAATACGAAGAACCTCAGACTGCCTCTGCTTCACCTAGATAGGATATCAACAGTTTTGGTGAAGAGGGAGGGTAGAGACTTTGGGATGTCACAGATCTGACAGCATCTCTTAACACTTCAAATCCAGGTGTTACCACGGGGCTGCCCTAGTCCTCCGCTTGGGATGATTCCGGGTTTTAGTTAGAAGAGCTGGAAACTAACTTCATATCAAAAAGTTAGTTCAAAAGTGGGTGACTTTAGCTGGGGCTGAAAATGCAGCTTCCTCGGGGTTCATGCCCATTTTTGAGAACAGCCCTTCAATACAGTTTCCCTCCCCCCACCCACTCAAATTCCCCACCTCTATTTTAGTAATTTTGCATTTCCCTCCTTCCTGCCCTCTGCCAAGTTAAAATCACTATTTATATCACAATGGATTCTTTTTAAAATTAAAAGTTTGGTAATAGAGAACAAAGGTGCATTCACTAACAAAGCCACATATAGGTTACAATCCCCTGAATATTTCCTGAAGTACAAACTTACAAATTACTTAGTTTATTATGCTACAGGAAAAAGAATCAATCCAGGCAACTAATTAGTATTTTTTAAACTTGTGCAGAAATGGTTTCTTTTTGAAAGTCTGCCCATCCCTGTATACTGCTTCTGACAACTACAGATTTCTGATGTCTTAGCCTTGGCATAGCTTTCTTGTAGTACTATTTCTATTGATTTTTCTGAAACTAATTTATTTTGAGCCATAGTTTGTGTGTTTCTATTTTTAAGAGTGGCAGTTTTTGAATGTTAAAAAAGTGCCTTGAATGGAATGCCTGTATTAGGAATTATTTTTGCTTCCAGCAGATGGAAGATGCTGGTGTAAAATTATAAAATGTTATATACACACACACACACACATACATATGATAGCACAACTTGCACTTCTTTAAATCTGTAAACTGCCTAGAGTCCTAAGAAATGAGGTGGCAGATGAAATGCATCAGATATATAGATTGAATGTCAGTCCAGATACCAATAGAAGGTAATATTTTTAACTCAGGCTTGAACGCTCTGGAGTTCTTGGTGCTCTCTGAGTTTGTTTCCTTGCAGGCATTTCAATACCCAACTAGGTAACAGCATCAGTGCTAGAAGGGAGTGGGGTTTGCTGTCTTATATAGTCTCTTCTAGGACTGGTGTTGGCTGCTGCATTTGAGTGGATTTGCAAGAAGGTTCCAATGAGTATTATTTATTACTTCATTGTAAGAGTGTATTTGTAGCTCTGAGTTGAACTGTTGGGGTCCTTGGTCTTTCTGAGCTCGGTTGCTTTCTTGCAGACATTTGACTACCCAACTAGGGTAGGTAATATGATCAGTGCTACTGTAGGAAGGAGTGGGGTTTGCTCTCTGTCATTCAAGGCTCGAGAATGTCTCATCTCTATTCTCAGCAGCTCCAAAGAAGCCCAGAGGGAAGGAGCTGGAGCCCCTCTTCTCCAGACATCCTTGCAGACCAGAGTTTGTGCATTTCAGAGCCCTTACCCAACACTGATCTCATTGCAAGCCTTTTATTGATCTTTTGAATTCAAAATAGTCTGTCTGGGGAATCCACTTCCCTGTCTCTCTCCCCTTACTCAGGATGCCCCCATCCCCTCAGAGATGGATCAGCATTTCCAGCTTGAGGTGATGGGAGTCCAAGGGTTGTACTTCAACACTCAATGAAAGATGCGGGGGCAGGGTGGTGGTGAGATGGGAATTGGGATCCCAATCTTTGGAAGGGTACTTGGGCTTGTATTTCCAAGGCACACAATGGATGCTTGGGTGGCTGGGAGTGATGGTAGCTATGATCCAAGAGGTCTCTGGAATGCTACTGGGGCTTGTATTCCAGAGATACGCAAAGGATGTTAAGGTGGCTGGGAGTGATGGGAGCTATGATCCAAGCCTTTGGAAGGGCACTGAAGCTTGTAGTTCCAAGACATAAAAGAGATGCTGGGTTGGCAGGGTTCCCCCATTTGTTTTTTTCTTCCTTCCTTCTCTTTTCCTTCCTCCTCCTTCCTTCTCTTTTCCTTCCTTCCTTCCTAATACTGAGCTTATTTTACCTTTCCACAAATGGGAAAAGAAACATTCCCATAATCCTTCCCCCCTTCTTTTAGTGATGCGAATTGTGATCCCAGAGTATGGAGAATAGATGAGGTTGTGGTTACAACACATGGAGAGCGATGGGAGTTGGTATCCCAGAGCCTCGGAGAACCACTGGGTTTTGTAGTCCTGAGACCTTCCAGACGGCGCTGGGAATAATGTTGTGTGATCCCACAACTTGGCTGGGAATAATGGGAGTTGTGATCCCAGGGGCACCGGGAGGGGCTCGCAGTTCCCAGGCAGGCGAAGGGCGCTGAGAATGACTGGAATTGTGGTCCACACGTCTCTGGAGGGGAAGGGGACCTGCAATCTCAGCCACAAGGAAGGCGCTGGGGATGATGGGTCCTTTAGTCTCCGCACTCCCGGAGGGCGACGGGTTGCAGAAAGGTTCGGGGCGGCTCGCCCTCCCAAGCAGCCCGGCTTGTAAGGAGCTCTCGGGCGCGGTCGCTCCCTCAGGCTGCCCCTCACCTCCCTGGAGCCCGTCACGCTGGTGTAATACACTCGAAGGGCGGCCATGCTCGCCCTGGGCCCGCCGTTGCTATGAGAACACAACCGCCAGCGAGGCTCGGCCGTTCAGAGTGGTCACTCGCGCTGCCACTCAAAGAGCAGCCCGCCCCCCTCCCCGGTCTCTCCTTTCCCTGGTTATTGCTCTTCTGCGCCCCTTGCGGGCCGGCGGGGAACTGCGGCGAGTGTTCCTGCAAAGGCCATCAGACGGAAATAGACTTTTTTTTCTCCCTCTCTTGTCGACCTTTAAGAGGTCGGTGTTGCGATGCTTGCGCATCCCGGCTAGCAAGAAGGGAATGGTAGGAGCTGGAGTCCAGCACCGAGACTGCCTGGGAGTTCTGGCCAATGCAGGAGATCTGAGATTCAGGGGAGAGGAGGCCAGACATGTTTTGGGGACATGATACAAAAATATGTTGAAGCGCAGAGAAGAGCAACAAAGTTAAAACATAATGAACAGTTGCAGGAATACTCTGCAACACCCAACCCCCCCAAGGCTATTCATGCCTTTTATTTGGAAAAAAAACACAGGCCCATTTTCGTGAAAAAACGGGCCGTTGTTGGAAGGTTTGCCGAGTGCAAAAACTTTTTTTTTCCTTTTGGAAAGCTCTTTAACTGATTGATGAGAATTAAATTGATCAAGTGCTGTGCCAGCAGAAATACTTGCCTATCTACTGTATTTCCCTCTCTCTCTATTTCTCTCTCTCTATCCCTCTATCTACCTACCTACCTACACACACACACTCTCTCCCTACCTACTACTGTATTTCTCTCTCTCTTTCTCTCTATCCCTTTACCTACCTACCTACCTACCTACCTACCTACCTACCTACCTACCTACCTAC